TATATATAATATTATATATATATATTTTTTTTTTTGTGGGGGGAGAGGTTTTTGCTATAGGGCATGTGCACTCGCCAGAAAGACAGAGAGACAGAGAGCGAGAAATCACCCCCTTGGGGGGGATGGCTACACCACAATCCCTTCTCCATTCTCCTCTTGGTATCTTGGGTACACACACCATGCACCCAGCGTGAGTTTATGCAACTGGGTCCAGGACTTGAGCTGCGGTCAACTACATGCCAGTTCAGCGACATAGCCATTATGCCAACTGCTGATCCCAGAACATGTATTTTTATATCTCTTGGTTAAATACCTGGAGTAGGCTGAATGAGAGATATGGTAGGTGCCTGTTGAACTTAAAAAAAAAAAAAAAAAAAAAAAAAAAAAAAAACAAACTGTAAAGCTGTGCTTTCTTTTGTTGGCAGGACTTTACCATGTTGCAATCCTGTAATCCTCCTGCCTTAGTTTCCCAGTTGGGGCTAACCTATGTGTCACTATTTCCACCTAGATTTTAGGGAGGGTCATGCTATATTTGTGTCCAGGTCAGTCTTGTGATCCCTTTGCCTCAGTCTCCTGTCACTGGGGTTATTGGTATGTGAATGCCTGGCCCCTCAGTTTGGACCAGGAATCAAACTGAGGACTCACGTGTGATCCCAGCCTGAGAAGCACAATGTCTCTACAGCAAGCCCCATTGTGGCTGGGCCAAGCCAAACTATTTTTTAAAGTAGTTCTAGCATTTTTCATTCCCATAAGTAGTGTGTGAAAGTTCTCATGCTTTTCATCCTTAATGTTATACTGCTGGGGGAACAAAATAAATTTCATAACCTCTAGTTGACTCCTTTCCCTTCTTTTACAACTCACAAAAGCACCAATCTTTAACAGAAGAAGAAGAGTAGCTCATTAGGACATCTGAACAATTGGTCCAGGCCCTGTAACTGCTGAGATTCTTCATTTTTAGCTCCTGTCACTGAGTTTGATTCCTCCACTCCCAGGCTGGGCTCAGAATTATGTGCCCTGGGCTTTTTGTTATTGTTAGATTTTTTACCACAGGGTACATGCACTCAACTGGGAAGAGACAGAGAGAGAGGGAAAGTGAGAAATCACTACCCGGGGAGATAACCACACTACATTCCCTTCTCCTCCATTGTCCTCCTGGGATTTTGAGCACACACACACACACACACACACACACACACACACACACACGCCTAGCATGATTCTCAAGACACCAGGTCCAGGATTTGACCTGCCGAGTTGGCTATGTGAGACCCAGAGCCTTAACTAACTACCACACCAGCTGCGGTCTCTTCAGGTCTTAACACTAAGAAAGAATATGCCATGTTCTTCTGTCTATCTGTCTGTCTATCTATCTATTTATTGTTTTCTATTTGTCAGAGGGCACACAAACTTGCCAGAGAGAGGTAAAGTAAGAAATACCACCTCACCCACCATGGGTATGTTCATGCCACAACCGCCCTCTATTTCTCACGACTTTTGGGATTTGGGGCATGCTTGCATATGCACCCAAAGTGTTTCTCAAGGGTTTCTCAAGTCCCAGGGCCTGGGACTTGAACTGTGCAGTTGGCCATGTGCGATATAGCTGTCTCAACCACTAAGCCAAGGCTGGCCCACCATGTTCTTCTTTTTATTATCAATCCAAGAATGCACTAAAGTACACTTAATTTTAAGTAATTGTGGAAAAACATCAATGTGTTAAGAAGATAAAAACAGATTAAGTGAAAATAAATTATTTTAGAGTTATAAAATCTGCTACTGTTAATGAAACTTTGAAAGGTCATGTTCTTGATCCATTACTTATGCTGACCACACAGAAGCTAATTTTAAAAATTCAAATTTATAATGCTAGAAAGGTCAGATCATGAGACAGACTTAGGACATTTTATGTACCTAATTAGAGTTGCAAATTATATAAAGCAAAACTGATAAAACTAAAAGAAAAATTTTTTTTTATATTTGGAAAAGTTAATACTGCTCTCAGTAGTTCATGGAACAACCCAATTACAAAAACAAGAATAGAAATATCTAGAACAATACTATCAGCTAACTAAGCTTAGGTGACAGTTATAGAAATTATACTCTAAAATTTCAGACTCCGCATTCTTTTCAAATTCTTATTAGATTTTCACCAAAGTAGACCATATACTCATCCTTAAAGTGATTCTCAAGGAACTATAAAAGATTGAGATTTTACAGATATTGTTGTCTGATCATAACAGAATAAAACTGCATAGCAACATTTTCAAATGCCATTCTTCTAAAAATACACTTGTAAACAATCTCTGAGTCAAAAAAGAAATCACAGGTGTAATCAGAAAATATTTAAATTGAATAATAGTGAAAAAATGCATATAAAAAGTGTGAAGATACAGCTAAAGTGGTAATGAAAAGGAAAGTTGTATCTCTTAAAGAGAAGGAAATTAAGTAAAAAGCAAAAATAAAGGAATAAAGACAAGAAATCAACAAATAAAACAGATTGACAAAGAAAAATTTAAATAGGTAGAATTTTTGCATGTGTGTAAAGATTAATTAATAAGCAATATTTTTACAAAGTAAGAAAAAAATGTAAATTATTAATATTAGAATGAAGCATGGCTTTTGCTCCAGTCTCACAAATATTAAAAGGAAATTATAATACCTATATTATATTGACACTCTAATAATATACAGATTCTCTGAAAACAAAATTTACCAAATTTGACAGAACAAGAAAATCAAGAACTTAATAGCCCTGTATATTTAATAAAGTTAACTCATAAAGGGAAACACTTTTACAATGAAAACTTCAGGTTTAGAGAGTTTCACGAATGAATCCTATCAAACATTTAAGGAAGGAAGAATATCAATTTTATATTAATTCTCTTAAAAAAAAGGAAAAAGAAACATATTGCAACTTGTTTTATGAGCACAGCATTAGCTGATATCAAAACCTGATACAAAAAAAAAAACCTGATACAGACATTTCAATAAGAGAAAATTCATAATAATATTCCTCATGAACAAATAAGGAAAAATCTGTAGCAAAAACATTAGCAAATAAAATTCTGTAACATAAAAAGGATAATATTGCAGGACTAAGTTAGCTATATACCAGAAATGCAAGATTGGTTTAATACTCTATAATCTATCATGTAATTCACCACATTAACAGAATAAAGGAGAAAAATCATAGTATTATTTCAATAACTGCAGTAGAAGTACTGAACAAAATTTAGCATGTACTAATGATTAAAACTCCCAGTAATATAGGAATAAACTTCTTAATTTTAAAACATTTTACAACTAACATTATACTTAACTAAAATACTGAGAGCTTTTCCTCTATGATCAGAGATAAGATATTTATGTCAATTCTCACCACAAGATGAAGAATTTACCTCCACATCTACTTCATAGAAAATACGAAATTTAATTTGAGTAGGATTATAAATTTTAGGATATGAAAAAGAGCATAAAACTTATTCTCTAGATTTAATTCTGATGACAAAAATAAGTTTCTTTGAAATATTAGATATATATATATATGTATAACTTAAATAAATAAATTCCTTTCCTTCGACATAATACTATGTATGATGAAAACAAGGACTGATTTTCATTTTTAGTATGATCTGTTATTATTAGAACTTGCATCTAATATATAGTTTATATGCATACATTAGAAATGCAATTATTTTTTAAATTATTTATTTATTTATTTCCATTTGTTATTATTATTATTATTAACTTGATCAGAGAGAGACAGTGTGAGAGAGAGAGAGGAAATGAAAGTGAGAAAGCAAGCTGCCAGGTCCAGGACTCAAACCATGGTCGGACACATGGGAATCCAGCACCTTTAACCACCTGCCAGCCCTTAAGTGCAATTCTTAATAAATACTTTCTTCCTGGGAGAGACTAAGTAAATGGCCATCATACATTTGAAATAAACTCAGAATTCACTGTGCTATTTTATTAATAAAATAACATTGCCATTAATTTATGGATGCCTTTTTTTCACACTCTTTGAAGTTTAAAATTTGTCCTACTTCAATGATCTTTTTTTATCTTTTACTAAGTTATCTCTCATTTAGAGTATATACACTTATAAATGTCGCCTCAGTATATACTTACATGGCTCTTTTTTGACAATGAAGTAATGACAACTAGTTAATCACAAGTGCCTTTAATATGGGATAGCCATCGTACTTAGGTCTTTACATTAATTCCCTTATTCAATCTTGCTGATTATTCTAGGAAGCAAGTCCTGTCATCATGTCACCTCACAGAGCACAAACTAAAGCATTTACATGAGCTAAATAGGAGAGAAGGGGGCCCTACCTGCACAACATGTAATAGGTAACTAAAGTACATGTACTGGGGAACCAGCGTAATGGCTATGTCGCTGGACTCCCACGTAGTCGACCGCGATTCGCGTCCCGGACCCGGTGGCTTAAAACTCACGCCGGGCACGTGTGCATGTGTGCCCAACATCCCAGGAGGAGAATGGAGGAGAAGGGATTGTGGCGTGGTCATCCCCCCTGGGGGGGGTGATTTCTCGCTTTCTGTCTCTATGTCTCTCTGTCTGTCTGGAGAGCGCACGCGCCCTATAGCGAAAACCTCTCAAAAAAAAAAAAAAAGCATTAAAGTACATGTACTGTTTACCCATCAACCCTACAACACAGACAGCAGTGTCTGTTTACAAATGTTACCAAATGACCATTAAGAGAACTGCTTTAAGCAAGGGTAATCAGAGTTAATAGTTATAAAATGAGCTTTTCCCCTAACATGTAACCCATTCACATGCCATGAAAATCTTCATTAGTGATGTTTTAATATAGCTTATTCTTAAAAAAAGTTGAACAAAATAATAAAAAGGATGCAGAGAAAATAGAACACAGAATATATAAGCACTGTTTTAGAACATTTTCCCAAAGGTTTTGCTCAATTGCAGAAATATCCTTGTTAACCACCTAGATTAGAATACAGTTAATAGATAAACTTACCCTGGTTTCGTGTCATTTACTACACAGTGATAGGTAAATGTTCCAAACATCTGAACTCCTAAAATGCCATAAAGCAGCAGAAAGAAAAGGAGGAAAATCGAAACACTCCATATTTGTTCTCCTGATCGCCTAGAAAAAAGAAGTAGAAAAAAATTGGTACAATTTACAAAAGATAGCATAAGCATTTCCTCTTAATTTCTGCAACACCCACACTTACTTTAAAATGTTTGTAATTCTGGTCCTTGGCAGTTCAAATCGAAAATAAATACGGAATGCTCTGATCATAATTAGTGGTCGTGGAATCCGCAACATGCCCCATGGTGACATCTGATCAACTATATCAGCAATTTCAAATACCTATAAATGAAGAGTAGAATAATCAAGTTTATATTGTCCCATAGTGTTCCTGCTAATCATGGAATATACAGAAAACAGCATAAAGAAAGGCAATCTGTACCCCAATTTACATTATTTCCTACCAAAATCAATTTTTTTGAGTATATTTTGAAACTATGGCTTCTTCAGAGAAAAAAAAAAAAAAACCTGATGAAAGTGACATTAATCTTGTTCATCACCTGATTTGTCAAGAAAGTTTTTAATCACAAAAGCAAGTGACAATTTAGAATACAAAATAAATACACTGAGTATTCCTCACTAACAATGTCCTTTAGCAGAAGCTGTTTTTGTTTGTTTGTTTTGGAGAGGTTTTTGCTATAGTGCACGTGCCAGACAGACAGAAAGTGAGAAATCACCCCCTAGGGGGGATGGCCACGCCACTATCCCTTCTCCTTCACTCTCCTCTCAGGATCTTGGGCACGCACACATGCACCTGGCGTGAGTTTAAGCTACCGGGTCTGGGATTCGAACCGCAGTTGACTACGGGGGAGTCCAGAGACATAGCCATTATGCTAACTGCTGGTCCCGTTTAGCAGAAGCTTTATAAAGTAATGAAGAGTTTAAAATGTTATAGAAAATTTAAAAAAGAATTGTACCATATACGAACACAGGCAAAATGAAAATTAGACAATGTTCATCAATCATGCAATAATTAAATAAAAAAGAACACATTAATATGTGGGAGAAAATTAGACTGTGAGAGAGGTTAGTTTTATAAAAATAAGGAGAGATAGCTTATCAATAAAACGATGCATTGGAAAGATGGACTGTAAATTTCTTTTACTCTAAAATTTTTAATGAAAAGTAGAAAAGCTCTAGCCATCTGCTGATAACATTGTACCTATAGTCAACAATAGTGTTATTGTACACAAAAGTTTGTTAATAGGGTAGATACCATTTTAAGTGTCCTTAACACAATTAAATCAAAAGAATAACTTTAATTGAACTTAATGAAAAATCATGCCTGAAAAAATGCACAGGAATGAATTTTACTTTCCAATAAAATCTCTCATTCTTAAGCCTTTTAAAATATGTGCTCTTCATTTTTAACTAAAGGGCATGGTGTATTTGTGATAAAATATTTTATATTGATTAGTATATATACCAATCCAAATCAATTTTGCTCTTTTTGGTGAGGACTTACTCAGATAAAGGACTAGACTTTTAATTTTCAAATTTGATTTAATTTTTTTTTAAATACAGAAATCTACTTCAAAAACAAATTTTCTTTCAAATACAGAAATCTACTTTTCCTTTATTTAAATGAAAGTATTTTTATATTTATTCAGTAAAAATTAATTTTTATTGTACTTATTTATATTCCTGACTAAGAAATAAATACAAATGTAACTGACTGATTAAAATGCCACAACTAGATTTTTCTATCATTAAATGCTTAATAAAAATATGTTGTAAGAAATTATATAATCACATTTAATATAAGTATTTTAATATTTCTCTTTAGATTTTTAATGTAAATAATACCCATTTTGGAAAATACCCCCTTGTAATTTAAAAATATTAAATTACCTGTAACACCAATGAAACCCAAAGGCAAAAGACCATAAATCCATCAAAAACACACCAGCGATCTTTCACATAGGAACTATCCCCCTAAAAATAAATTTCACATGGTATTATCAAGCAAAATGACTGTTTAAAAAAAAAATCTGTGGAGGAAATATGTGTTAATTCAGTAAAAGCTATTCTGTTCTCAGTTTTTGAATCATAATTGTACAGACTTTAAAAATAAATACTTCTAGCATTTCACAAGGCATTATCTATAAGGAAAACAATTTATGAAACACAATTAACACAGAACTTTTCATGAAAAGTTTTAAATTCATGGATAAGAAAAACATCACTATTTTTTTCTCTTAGTCACACAAATTCTACTGCGTAGGGAACTATTCTTTTGAATAGGCAGATTAGGTCCCAACCAAGCTCTCTTCCTACAAAAACCAACAGAACACAGTGGCTAACAATGAGGCCTTTAAAACTGCTGTTTTGGGAACCAGCAGTTAGCGTAATGGCTATGTCGCTGGACTCCCATGTAGTCGACCGCGGTTCGTATCCCGGACCCGGTGGCTTAAAACTCACGCCGGGCGCGTGTGCATGCGTGCCCAAGATCCCGAGAGGAGAATAGAGGAGAAGGGATTGCGGCGTGACCATCCCCCTTGGGGGGTGATTTCTCGCTTTCTGTCTCTGTCTCTCTCTGTCTGTCTGGCGAGCGCACGCGCCCTACAGTGAAAATCTCTCCCCCCCCCCAAAAAAAAAAAAAAAAAAAAAAACCCTGCTGTTTCAATCACTAATATTAGTGGACATACTAACCAGGAAATCACTTCAAGGTAAATAAAAACTGAAGAAGAAACTTGCCCTAATTTATGAAGAAACATATAACAAATCTAACTTTAATCTGAATTACATATGTAAAAGAAAGATAGAGAAGATGTATTGCTTTCATTTTTTTAATAGGGTCTCTGTTTTGACATCCTAATGTCAAAACAGAGATATTAGTAGAATGGGGATTTTAGAAAAAAATTTCCTTTGGAATAACAAAACAGAAAACTTCATGATGTTAGACTTGAAAACGTTAAATTATAAAATCTTTTGCTTTCTTAGTATTCTCTTGTTTAGTTACTATTTTGAGGTATTCATATAACTCAATTCTAAATTCAGTCACATATCTTTACCACCTCTGCTGGAACCTGCTAAACAAAAAATTAAAAGAAACAGAGTGCCAGGATTTTAAATAAACTGGTAAGATATACTGCAGGATATTTAAGAAAGTACAATAATTTCTAAGACCTTCCACCTTCAGTAATAAATATGTTATCACAATATTTCTTTTTGAAGTTTCCATAAGTAATTTATATTGTTCTACTTAATGAAGGTTACCTGACCCACATATGTAGTATAATTTCAACTTAATAAACAGTGGGTTAGTACCTGTTTTGCATAATAGAACACGTAATGTCTAATCAGCATGTACACACAACTCACCACTATCAACAACAATAATCCTGTGTAGGAAAATAGATGTAAACTCATTCAGCTGATGAACATGGCAGAATATCTTATAACAAAGCTATAATGGTAAAGAAGATGAGGGATTAATTCCACAGAGAGTTTATAGAAAACTATACTAGTTTCCAAAATGAATAAACAGATAATTTTATCAGTGGTAAGACAACCAACCAGACTGGGTGACTCATGTATTTTAACTTAAATTTTAAATTTATTTTAAATGTTATGGGTCTCAGTATAGAATTATTTTAAAACAGGAATATTAATAAGCAAATGTTAAGTGTGACACATATACTCTATTAAATACTACTCATCTATAAAAAACAACAAGATTCTGACATTTGATAGAAAGTGGATGAATGTGGAAGATTTACTGCTGAGTGAAGCAACACAGGCTCTGAAAGAGGAACACCGTATGTCTCCACTTAATATATACATACAGACAGTTGGCACTCTATGGCAGAAATTAAAATATTAGAGGATGTAGAAGCATGGAAAATTGTTACAGATACTGGAGACTGTGGAAAGGGGGTGAGAGAAGGTGGAGAGTGTGATGAAAGAAATTAAGGAGAAATACAGAGAGGCAGAACATTTATGGGACACAGAAATGGATTGCTGTTTGTTGATGGTAACATGTATAGTATCCTCAGTTGGACTGGTGTGAGGTGTATTTATGCTGAATAAATTCACTTTACAATCCAAGTGATGTAAAGTGATTAGATGTATAAAATAAATTTTTAAAAATGTGAGTATAAAACATATAATAAATATAAAACTTACACAATAAAAAAGTAAATATTAGGCAGGAAGAATCATAATTATAGATCATTGGGTACAAAGGCACTCAAATTTGATGAGCTGGTAAGGTAGTTTTCCAAAACATTATTTTACTTGTTTTGTCTTTAGAAGCGTGATATGTTGGGTCACTACAATTAGCTTCTTTTACTGCTCATAATATGCTTTAGTTATGCATTAAATTCAGTAAGATTAAATTCAGATGAGAGCTTATTATTATATGGAGAATTATTTACAATGTCATAGGCAGAGACAAGCAGGTAAAGAAACTGGTATAATAAAGATGATTCACAGTGTATATTGAACTATATAAAAGGAGGGATTATTTTAAACCACTTCAGAAGTACTGATTGTGTTTGCAAATAAAACAATCCATTTTTATTTCAAATGACCTCATACAATAAAAACTGGCTTAGTAAAACTTTTACTATATAACACAGAGAACTTTTTTTTTTTTTTGGAGAGGTTTTCTCTATAGGGCGTGTGCGCTCACCAGACAGACAGAGAGATAGAGAGACAGAAAGCGAGAAATCACCCCCCAGGGGGATGGCCACGCCGCAATCCCTTCTCCTCCATTCTCCTCAGGGGATCTTGGGCACGCACGCACATGCGCCCGGCGTGAGTTTTAAGCCCCCGGGTCCGGGACGCGAATCGCCGTCGACTACGTGGGAGTCCAGCGACATAGCCATTACGCTAACTGCTGGTTCCCCAGAGAACTATTTTTGAATTAGGAAGCAATTTTAGTTGCACATGTAGTTTGGACTGTTTTCTGCAGAAATTCACATCGGTGTGTACCTGTCACCCACAAGCATATCACACACTAGATGGTATGCTGTGATCAATTAGAACAGGTAGCACAGTCATTGGGGAGCTGGACTCCCACATGGCCGACCATGATCTGAGTAGGAGACTTGGAGGCTTGCTTTCTCACTCTTTCTCTCTGCTCAAATTGAATAACAATAATAATAATAAATAAAATAAAATAAATAATTACAGAAAAAAATTAAATGTGGCTATTAAAAAAACTGCCCTTTTTTCTCTTCCTTGGTAAAATATGGAAATAATCTACTTATCAGCTCACCAGACAGACAGAGAGATAGAGAGACAGAAAGCGAGAAATCACCCCCCAGGGGGATGGCCACGCCGCAATCCCTTCTCCTCCATTCTCCTCAGGGGATCTTGGGCACGCACGCACATGCGCCCGGCGTGAGTTTTAAGCCACCGGGTCCGGGACGCGAATCGCCGTCGACTACGTGGGAGTCCAGCGACATAGCCATTACGCTAACTGCTGGTTCCCCAGAGAACTATTTTTGAATTAGGAAGCAATTTTAGTTGCACATGTAGTTTGGACTGTTTTCTGCAGAAATTCACATCGGTGTGTACCTGTCACCCACAAGCATATCACACACTAGATGGTATGCTGTGATCAATTAGAACAGGTAGCACAGTCATTGGGGAGCTGGACTCCCACATGGCCGACCATGATCTGAGTAGGAGACTTGGAGGCTTGCTTTCTCACTCTTTCTCTCTGCTCAAATTGAATAACAATAATAATAATAAATAAAATAAAATAAATAATTACAGAAAAAAATTAAATGTGGCTATTAAAAAAACTGCCCTTTTTTCTCTTCCTTGGTAAAATATGGAAATAATCTACTTATCATAATTTTACATATTTTTTGGCTCATGTTTCCAAGAGACATTCAATAGTCATAAAAACTTTTAATAAACAGACCCAAAATACAAAGACCAAAGACCAATAACACTCAATGTTTTCCCATTTAAAAAAAAATTATCTTTTTTTCAAGTTTCAGGTATTTATTAACCAGTGTAAATCTCAACACATCAACATGATTTCATGCATTTAGAGGAGAAATATTTCCTGGTGAAGTGGAAAATTATGCAGATGGCTTCTGGAAGACCTTCATTATAAGCATTTTTATCGTGAAACATTTCATTTAGAAGTCTGAACCCTCTCTCTTCAGTTTGCTGTAATCCATATTCACTGAGTGAATTGATCATTGCAACCCATATTGTTCCAGGGCTTAAGGTTCTTTCTGCCCTGAGAGACATTTGGATTGAACACTGCCCAACACATGAAATATAGTGATGCTCTGATACCTACACCATAGTAAATACAAACAGGGGAATCAAAGTCAGGTGCTTCTTGGCCTGGCTCACAGTCTGGCTGAGCATGTTCATGCTGGAGAGCTCTAGTCCAAAGCAGAGAAGAACAAATTTGCCAGGCTGAAGACGAAGTACTCCCCTCAGGTTTTCAAAAATGTCTTGCTCTTTAGGATTTACTATTCTTCATACTGTATGTCTTGAAAAGTTCTCCTAATTTTGCACCAGATTTTTTCTCCAGACTGTGATATGACCACTGAGTATAGTGGTAACCTTAACTCACACATCATGTAACAACAGACAACTCAGCTCTTATGTATACGTAATGTTCATGATGCGTCACTCACAGAATAATCTGCGGTAATCCCTACTGATTGTTCTATGAACCTGTAGTTTGGTCCTTCCAGTTTATCCGGTCTAATGGTCAAGTTTTGGTTTCCCATTTAAATTTTGTCTGAATGTATCTTCTGGTGTTACATTTAAAAGAAAAAAAGTCAATTACTCATGGTGTATGTTTGAGTTTCCTCCGGAGATCAGTAACATCTTGAGACATTAAAATTTACGGTGGTATTCCCAGTACCTAACAGAGCAGGTGACATTTACCAGATATTAAACAAATGATTAAATAGTCACATGGACTGTGTCTCAAAGAGCCTCTGTAGATTATC